GTTCTGCATTCAAAGGGTCTATTAGGCAAGCTGCGGTTCTATGGTATATGCAGCACATACGGTATTTAAATGCCCTTGACAGGAATCCATTGCGGAGTGTTACCGAACAAGTCTTCTTTCTGGAAGGCGACGAAGCGTGCAAAGTTGTTACCTTCAGAAATGACATTATGTATTAATATGTATATGCTGCTGTCCTCCACGCTGTTAGTTTCTCCATACCGATATGGACTGAAACCGATTTGCGGCTCAGATTAAGTCCGTATTGCCACAATTTTACCGCATTATTACTGATCCTCGGCCTGTACCTTAGCCACAACGTTGTTGCCTGCATATTTCAGTTTACTCTACGGCTTTCATGCAAACTGAGGCTTAAGAACTAATTCAGCAAAAACCACACATTACGAGTTTGCACTGAAAAGCAAATTAGTTTCAGGCCATATCAGAATGGACGGTTTATCACTCTGGGCGGCAACATAAGAGTTATTCACAACGCATATTATCTCTTTCATTAAGCAGTACTCAAAGAATTGGTGCAAATATAAACTTTCGACAAAAAACTCTCAATACCCTCGCTAGAACTCATCTAAAAGTCAGTTCGTATCATAATTAAAGTTAACACTTTTTTATAAACTTTAAGGATATTCGTTGTTGCCATAAATACTATTTCAAACAAATATTTACTTGTAGGAATATGAACAAGAAGAGTTCACGATATGGTTCCCTGAAAGGTGATTGATTTTGACAATTTATTGATTTAAATTTTCACATGAGCGATGGCGATGCGATAATTTTACTGTTTTAATTTAATCTAGTTAACTAAGTCATAACTAATTAGTTTGACAGAAAAATAAAACCCGACCTTATCGGTTTACTAGCATACTGCTGGTTGTTGATAGCTCCGCGAAGATGTATAATCTATTTTTAGTTTTTGACACCGGGTTGAGGCGGTTTTGCATCCATGCACTGCAGGTACTCAAATACCATTGAGCTCTGGCCGGCTTAAACGGTTCCCTAGGCCACTAGGAGCAAGGGCAGTGCTTACGCCGCTTCAGTCCGGTGTGAGAAACTAAAAACGGATTAAATTAGTTTGAATTCATCACTCACAACAGAAACTACAAGATCATCGATTATTGTACGCGTTATGTGAAATATGTTAATTTTGACGCTCATTAATCCTTCCTCCTCTGAATGCACAAAGTACGACTGTACCGTCCATTGCCTTAAGACGCACATGATCCTTTATGAAGGCTACCACTCAATGTTATTGTATTACCTGCGGTTCGTGCCTGACAGTATGTACGAAGTGTTGTTGATTAAGATAGGTCAACAACGAAATCTGTTTTTTAGCACAGATCAAACAAAATAAACTCTGAAAATCAAGTAACTGGATAGCAGTTAACTAAAACAAATTTATAGCATCAAAGACAAAGCTGTTATTAAGCGGTCAAGTACTCCGTAGAAACAGACTTTTAACGAATGTTTCAAGCTGTCGGTTAAAACGGTTAACCAATGATCTCTTAAAATTTAGCAGTTCATTAAACTAGCATAACAATACAGATTTATAGAGATAATTGGTTTTAATCTACAGCTAAACGGCTAAAAGCGTTGCCATCATGCTAATGGTAAGTGTAATCCTTTATACAGAGGGTTGATGGCGTAATGTGCAATTTCATGCCATTTCTCATGCTTTCTTTCCAGGGTTATACCTTGTACTCATTATTACGCTGGATAGTCAGTATCTGATGGGCAAAGGCGAAGTGCAGCCAGAGGGGCTTTCGTATGAGAAACATCGTTCATTCTGGTATGACCACAGCAGAACACCATTATGTCCGTTACTCGCCAGACAAGGAGCTGCTACCAGTCTCAGATGGTTGAAGCAAAACTTCTTTGCACAAAGTAATTCGCGGTTAGGAGAAAGTTAGTCCCTTCTCTACTTACGAACCAGTACCTCCGCAGAAGCCGGTGTCTTTGCCGCTCTGCCACAAAGTTTGTCTATATATTTTCCTACAGAAAGAATGTTAATTGTCCACTTGTTTTAAAATCTATTCCTTAATCTAGAAGCCTTTTCAGGAGATTCGAACTAGTAACGATTAATATATCACAGATGCTTCAGTGACCGTGTGAATACTATGGTATTTTCATTTTTTGCCACATTAAAAACGGGCATTGTTTTCGGTTCCAAAGTCTTTGCATTTTTAAGTAAAGATTATGCTACTGATTGTTATCGTTATGAGCCTGATAATTTCGTTTCGCTGAACAGATAAGTCTTTACGACATATTCTACACGGCGTAATTGCCAGTCCCATTAGCAGTGGGTCCCGACTTGCTACCACTTGCACCACGATGGGCAATAACCGTTAGTCCGTTCACTAGAATATCGTCAAATCGAATCGAACCAAGGACTTGTATTCGGTGATTACATTTACTGAATAATGAACATGATTCTACGTCACTGATGTAACTAATTATTCAAACAGATAAAACACAATGGTCGAACCATGGCCTACTTAAACGGCGGATCCATCGGCTACTAGAAGTAAGGCAGGGTGCAGGTACTCTGTAGTTATTGTTATTCTTACTGACGGTATCGAATAACTAGAGGCCTGCTAACTGTGTACAAGGGCTAACTGGTTTTATACCATCTTTCTGTTCATATGCTACTAAAGAGATTTAAGCATGTCTTACTCAATATGAAATTGTTTATTCTTATGCCGGCAAAATGTTCCAACCTATAGTTCTAACCCACCACAGTTGCAACCCATAATTACCTTCATATCTTTAATATATTTTTATGCTCTTTTTG